TCATCCATATGTGCATCCATTCACATATGCATCCATCCTTCATCCTTCTATCCATCCTTCTGTCACTGTCCATTCATCCATTCATCCATATGTGCATCCATCCACATATGCATCCATCCTTCATCCTTCTATCCATCCTTCTGTCACTGTCCATTCWTCCATTCATCCATACGTGCATCCATCCACATATGCATCCATCCATATGTGCTTCCATCCATACATGCATCCATTCCTTCATCCTTCTTTCCATCCATCTGTTCCAGTCACTGTCCATTCATCCATTCATCCATCAATCTACCCTGGTTCATCCGCCCACTTTCCATCCATCCATCCACTTTCCATCCATCCATCCTTGTCAATCAATTCTTCTAACCATCCTTTTTCCCCTGTCCATGATTTTGTTCCACTGATTTATTGACTTTGTTCAAAGAAACTTTCTCTAACTTATGTTTCATTTTCACAGAAGAGGGCCAATGTTGTCTCCTCATTTCAATCTTCCTCCTAAGAAAGGCAGGTCACATTTCTCTATTAAGATATAGCTTTTCTTATTCCACCTTAACAACTTCTCCACAGAGGTATATAAGGTTACACAAAGCATGACATAGATAAATTACAGATTTTTTAAGGAATATTTTATGCAAATTATTTTTGTGTGGGCATAATAATTACTCAGATATATGTTGCAAAAATGAAAAACAAGAAACAAAACAAAAACAAAAAACGAAAAATGTCTGAAGTTGCATGTGCATTCTCATAGAAATATGATCACTTAATGCAAACTATAAAAATGGATAATTAAGCTTGTAACTCCCTTGCCTTACAATTTTTTAACTTGCCCTCAACAGAAAAAGAACTTCCTAAAATAAGTTTTAGTTTCAATCCACCATCTGAAGATGATGACAGTGATGGTGATGAAAAGATGTCCGGTAAATCTGGCCTGTTCACATTCAAGCCTGCAAGACAAACAACCAAAAAGACCACAGGGTCAAACATTCAATTTGCTGAAGAAAAACCAAAGTTGAGACCCAAACCAAAGGTACTCAATGAAAATAGTTTTATGTTATTAGATAACTCCGATTTTATACATATTTTGATGTATGGTTTCCATGGAAAGCAATTTTTTATGTTGATGAAACTAACGTTGTGAGTTCATTCGAAGCACTATATGTGGAAACAGCCTTAGTGACTCTGGAGAGCCTACGAAGCAAGCAGTTGTATAATGTATTCATACAAATACAAGACACACTAGGTACTAAGTATTTTTTTTCTTGTATTTTGTATACATCAGTCCCGTGGGGTTAAATTTTTTGATTCATCTGATGACGAAGAAGATGAAAAGGAACAGAAAGTAGTTGTGCCTCCAAAACCAGAACCTCCAAAGACAGAAGACAAAGACTGTTGGACACATGAACCTGATTCTGAAAAGTATGTGTGGAGCTTTTCCTTATATGACTTCAGATAATACATGCTAACCCTATAAATTTCAAGAGTAGTCAATTGTTTTGACCCTTCTCCTGATTGCTACTTACAACCCTTTTTGCGCATGCATTATCAACTTCATTATCATCATTACTGAAGAAATAGGAAACGCGCACACCTGCTGTGTGCAGTTATAAAGCATAAAGTAGTCTCTCAAAGAATTTCATAGACTATTGGGAACCTATTATGTATAGTAAAGCACGGCATTCATGGAAAGCAGGTTTTTTATTTTATTTTATTA